TGCGCCACTTTCTGAAGGGTTCTGCACCTGTCTTCGCGAGTTTCTGAGTGCTATGTCGGGTCTGGAGCAGCTTGTTCTCACCGGAGCTTGAAATTTCGAAAGAGACGAATTCACGTTTCAGTTGATTGACGTCAAAGTGCAGTCCCGTGATGCATCAAGCCAGCATGTCGATCAAATGTTTGTGCCGCTGTAAGAAGCTAGCGTACGGCCATGTGTGGTAATCTTGTGCTGTCAGCGCATTGCAAGTCTCCGCCCATTCAGCTTCAAGTTCGTCAACTAGAAAGTCGCAACACTCCCCGCTACGTCCCCAAAGCGTCTACAAAGTCTTTTTATAGTGCGGTTCATGCAATTTTGGCCATTTAATGACGCATGAATTCGACCCTACACCCGTAAGGTGAAGGATTATGTAAGCCATGCTTGTCGAGGATGAATGACGTACATACATTGCATGTATGTACCTACGTATGTATGTGTTTTCGTTCGCGTGTCCAGTTGTAGTGAAGATAGACACGTACATCCCCAATCGCATGAGTCCCGGCCCACGCGCAACATTGCAACACGAGACCGGATCGTAGTCGTTGGGCATTCAGCCCTCACGGTTGAACCATCTCGGAGAAGCTGTTGCTTGCCTGCAGCAGCGCGCCATGGGCTGGGCAGGCCGGAACTGTTGTACTTAGCAGAGCTGGCTCGAATTGGGTCTGCTGGCGGCTTGAAGCATCGGCAGCATCTCTGGTCTGTGACGTCGGCTTGGCATTGGCCTTGTTGCTCGTTTCGAAGGTGCACTGCGCGCTGGGCTCTGCCTTCTGGTGGCTGTCCCTGCGACGCTTCAAGTACTGTGTACCAGAAGAGACAAAACCACGAACACGTGCTGCACCTGAGGCTTGGATTCCGCTTGAGGCCAAGCTGCAGGCGAGAGCTAGCAGTGGGAGCGGCAGCAAGGGCGGTGTCGTCGTGCTTTACATGCCTGTGAGTGCAGGTAGCACAGCTTCAACTTGGAGGAGTCCAGAGGCGAGTGTGAGGGTGTGGCTGTGTGGCTTCCGACCTGTTCCCGTCTAGAAAGCCTCAGTTGCAGCAAGACTTAAATGCGAACGTGCTGTGTTCAGGTGGGGCTTCATGTCGAAGTTCGGCTATGCTCCGGGCAATGGCACCTACCGTCTCCGAGTGCGTGTGCCCTCGCAGACCAGGAGGTGATCACAAGGGGGGGTTTGAGAATTGACCGCAAGATTGCAAGCTGAGTTTTCGCGGGATTGGGGAAGTCCCGTGTGTTCGTCGCAGGCCTGACGGCAACATTACCCTCCGCTTTGAAAGCTATCTCGATGAGGACGAGACTCTTGCTGGCTAGATAGCGAGTGGTTTCAAGGAGTTCTGTGCTTCAAGAAGCCTTTCAGCTGCCGGTGTTTTTCAATCGCTGTTCGGGCTCAAAGTCTATAAGCGGCTGTCTTGTAGCTTTGCAATTAGACCGTGCCACCGTCGTGGAGCAGGCCAGCATGACCCCTCTGGCACGGTAGTGATGGAGTGTCGGCATCTGGTCCTCTTGGGCTTCACTTGTGCGACTGTGTCAACTGTGCTAGTCGTTTGGCAAACAGGCTGGAAGTGTAGCCAGCCGGTACTCGTGACTGCCCCTGAGTTGACTGCTGCCCCTTCGTCGTCTGTCAGCGAGAATCGGACCCGAAGGCATGGGAAGGGCAAGGGTGCCAAAAAGAGTCATGACCATAATGACCATGACGACGATGATGATGGCCATGTGGAATCTGATTTTGAGCAGCTCCCCAGCATGGTTGCGACAGTGGCCGGGGCCGAGCCACCGGAATCGTCGGAGTCTGCGGCACTGCAGGCCTCTCTGCCGGTCCCTGCCGAGCCCACCGTTTCGCCGAACGGGCAAAGGCCGCCAAAGGAGTTTGCGGTTCTTCCCGGAGAGTGTGCGATGCGGCAGCGCACAAAGCAGCAGATGCACTTCGACCACGTGCACAAGACCGATTCTTGGGGCAGCGACTCGCGCATTACCACCAGCGGCACGGGAAGTGATCAGAAGGGTGCGTACGACTGGGTGTATCACATCAACCTTTTCATCTTGTGCCTTGAACCGCAAGTGCTACTTTCGGCAAGAAGCATATAAAGTCTTCTTTCCAATTGTCATCAGACCCTGCTCTTCTCTTGTCCGTTGCCTGCAGACAACAAATGAGGCAGTACAACATCCAGACTGTTGCCGATCTTCCGTGTGGAGATGTTGCGTGGCAGTTCTCTGTTCCGGGAATCAACAAGGCAAAGGCATATTTCGGCGGTGATATCAGTGCTTCCGTCGCACGGCGAAATGCAGAGCAGTATACCTCCCACATGAACAAGATATTTCGCCCCTTGGAACTGAATCATCGGATTGCTTTGACGAATAGGATGTATTAACAATTAACACCCGATCTAGGTCCTTAGCAGCACGAGGCCACTGGGACTTGATTGAATGTGGTGTGCCCCAGTGCTGTCGGGGATCTTCCTGCGCTCCTTTCGACCTTGTCATCACGCGAGATGCCATTCAGCACATGACCGTCTTCGATGGATTGCTGGCTGTGAAGAGCATCGTGCACTCCGGCGCGAAGTACTTCGCCGTGTCGAGCTACCTGCCAGGCACTGTTGACCGGAAGTGGAAGTCCCTCGGGTTGTCGAGTCAACGGGCTCCTGGTCAGCCTATGGGTCTCAGACGCGAGGACGATTACATCCGAGAGTGCCAGACCAGTGACGAACTCAAGCGGAAATTCTGCAAACCGGGCCAGCGAACGGAAGAAACGGGCTGGTGGTACCCAAACGTCATGCGGTGTTTCCCTTTCAACTTTCCACCGCCGATAGTTGACAGGCCGAGTCACGAAACGTTCAAGATAGAGAACGATCATCTGCAGATTTATCGAGTCGACGACCTAAAGTCGGTCGTTGCTCAGTACGATCTCGCCGCGCAGTTCTGCAGAACTGCCTGAGTGCAGTGCATGACATCGATGTTAGCAAAAAAAAGGCCTGCCTGAACCTTGGTGCCGTTGTGTGAGGTTCTTTGCATGTTGACTTCCTGTCAGCCAGGACTGGAACGAGGTCCTCCAGATCGAGGTGCAATGCCCCCAAAAATCCAGATGCTGCAGTTACCCTTAGATGCTTCCAGTTTCATCTGCTTTTCGTGTCGCTCCCGCAACTGCCGCCCCGATTTGGGTCCATGTCATCAGGTTGACGCTGGCTGTGTGAGATGGTGAGCCATGTGCAGACGAAACGAGTAGTATTTGCAGAGGCCTCGGTTGAGGCACTCTGTGAACGAGCATTCGTGTCCTTGGTCAAGGGGTCCAAACCCAAGGTCTCAGCAGATTTCGCTCAGTATTCGTGCTGCCACAACTAATGCTGCCATTACCGCTACTACTCGACTACTTTATTGCTCTACCGCCCTCTCCTCCAAACTTCACTCCTGAGGGTCCTGGCGGCATTGTTAAACGCCAGCCCCGCGAGTCATCGAGTCATCTTTTGCTGCCCCGCCGCAAGCAGGACCCTTGCTTGCGGACGCGAAAATCTCGGAAGACCTGGAACTTGAACGTTCCCGCCGACGGCCAGCTCGAGCCTGAAGTGGTCATGGATACGTCGGTCTGCAGTGCAGATGTTTCGATAGATCATGAGACTAGAGATATGGCGAAGGTGGAGTGATCCCTGGAATGGACAAGTGCGGAACACGGTGAGGAGGGGGACTCGGCAGTTGTTTGTGCCTTCTCGGAACCTCTACGGGCTGTCGATGGCTGTCGTTAGGTCGCACGTTTGGTACTTCGTGCTGCTCCACTGTGGGGAGAAGCTGAAGGACCACAGCCGAGGCCTCAGCAGCCCCGCGAGCGCGAGGCTCGAGAGGTGCAGCGCCCGTGGAGTTTTCGAGGTGTCCGCTTCGAGTACGAGATGCGGCACCTGAACGAGGTACAGCGCAGCGCAGCAGAGCCGTCTGATCTTCCCCAGCTCTGCAGGGAGACTCTCATTTCACCATCGAGAAGCAATGGACGCTCCCAGCGAACGTTCTGTCGCTGCTCTGCTTCCTGGCCTTTTCCACTTTCTTCGCTCGGAGGCAGCTGGGGTAACGGGTAGGATGCTGGGGAAGCTTTTCCTCAAAGGCGTCGTGGATAGGAAGAGGCTTGTGCAGCTTGTGGATTGGGCCGGATTGGGGCAGTACGGAGCTCGCTGGTGCTTCCACGGCTGGTAGGGGTGCCTGTGCATCAGCGGCTTCTTCGAAGACGAGATGAACAGATTTAGTTGGCGAGCTTGATCGAAGCGTGCTTCTTCCGTGAGGTGCATCAGTGAGATGCGCGGAGTGGGCAGGCTCCACCCTGCGGGAGCCTCGACATTACAAGTACTGCTCAGTCTGAGTCTGGCGCTATTGGGAGAGTTTTGTCAGGTGATCCAAGGCCTGGTGGCCGTGGTCGGCCTGGAGCTCCTGGCACAGCCCTGCCCTTGGTCCCTGGCCTCGCAAGCCAGAAAAGTCCTCCTTGTACGATCTCTCAGGTCCCTGCATGCTCTGCACCTTTGGAGGCCCCGCCCCCAACAGCACCCTGTGGCAGGCATCATTGGCCTTCCACATGTGACGTCCTGACAGATATGGCTACGATGGAAAGGGGCTTCGGCTGCTTGAGATCGTGGCGGAGCTCCTGTGGCCTTCTCAGCTGAGGGCAAACCACAACTCAACTCAACGGCTGCTGAGCTGCGGCACTGCTGCGCCAAGGTTTGTCCTGTCTCAGCTGGTGCAGTCCACGCTTCTGCTCCTCATAGGGCCCGTGCCTCAGTGGCCTTGGTTTTGCAGAGGCTCGAGCAGCGAAACCGAGGTACGGATACACTTTGCTGCCTGTGGACATTGCCCCAGACATGGCGCGGAGATGCTTGAACCCGAATTGGAACTGGTCGTTGTGAGTTTTGGTCGGAGGTGGTGTTGGCCTTCGGTATCGGGGCTGCTCTCCACATCCTCCTGGTGCTTCTGATCAAAGGGGAGGCCCGGCCCTGGCGCTGCTTCAACGGCTGATCCTCCCTTCCTTTTAGAGGATGACGCTGACAAGTTCCACGACTACGAGAGCCTTGCTGGGAAGATCTTGCTGGCAAGATCTTCAGTGACACGGCGCTCTTGCAAGTGCCGCCTTTGACCCCTTGGCCCTGGCCTTCTGAGGCTCTCCGACTGATGCTCTTTGTCGGGGGCCCCCGGGCCGCAAAGAGAGCTCTGATTTGGTCTCGTCGCGAGGTGGGCTTCCTGTGGGCGCTCAGCGGAACGATGCAGGGAGCCCCTTTCAGGACCGGCTGCGCCCCAGCACGTTTTGAAAAAGAGCACCGCTCTGCTTCCTTCAGCTTTGCAGGATCCGACGTTTCCTCACGAAGTTCGGTTTCATCGGCCCCGGCCCTGGAGGAATCTCCCGGCCGGAAGCAGAAGTAGCCTGGCTGAGGCACGCTCTACTTTGTCGGTCCACCCATTGTGGTGCTACTGGTGTCCTTCTTTGCTCCGTGCCCCTTCTGAAACTATGCAGCTAGTAGCTGCAGCAGCAGTTGTGACTTGGCAAGCGCGCCGGCTTCTGTGAAGGTATTGGCGGCCTCCTATATTGACCAGCTGCCTGATGTTGCTGCAGACCTTGGACAGCAGTAGGATTCTGGAGATTGGAAGTGTTCTCTTCATCCCATTCATCCCGTAACCATCGTTTCTAAAGCGGCACGGGCCGAGGATCAGCACTGCCTGGTGGCTGAACCACCTCTTCTTATCCAGGGGGGAGTTCTTCGAGGCCACAACTGGACTGGACCGGCTCACTTCCGCTTTGAAGTGGCTATGCCAGGTTTCGGAGCTGAATTCCTCGTCTCTTCCGGGGGGTACTCCCCGAAGCAAATCGCCCCGCAGTTCCCCTCGCTACGATCGAGACAAGTGCGCCCGCTTGGAAGGGGCTCCGATGACCTCTCGCTGTGCTGTGCTGTGCCATCGCGCCAGGCATGACTAGCTGCTACTAGCTGTGACGAGGCGCGGTGCTTGGACCCTTCAACCCTTGGGCCCTTGGAATGTCTCACTCAGGGGGGGGGTCGGACAAAGCTGAGACCAGCCCCTTGCGGCCGCTAGTGCGGAAGCCGGGACACCGAGCACGGTTGCCGACGCGGCTCCGAAAGAAACGGCCCTCCTCAAACCGCCTTGAGAGCCTCGGACCCTTTGCTTTTGAGCAAATAGGCGAGATCTTGGCTCTTGGCTCTGCTGCAGTAAGCACTTGTACTGGTGGCTGTACTTCATGCCTTTGTGGTGCTTCCTACCATGTTGTACCGATAACAGTGAGGCATGTAGAAGTCCGCGTTTGTCGCCATGGCCCCCACAATGGCCCAGCTTGATGCCGTGTGGCTGCCTCGGTGTGCCAACGGTGTGCCCCCTATTTGTGGTGCTACCGCTAAAGAAGCCAACCCCCCTGCTCTAGCTTCTCTATAGCATTGGTACGGGAAGCGTGCAGACATAGATCCAGCAGCATGGAGTTGGTTCCGAAAGGTTCCAAAGTTTGGTTGCCGAGCTGCCGTGGCTGCGCCACACCTGGACCGCGAGAATTGAGAAACCACCTTCCTGAATTACCCGAGTCCCTGCAAGCCCCTTAAATTAAAGCTTGGGCTGCAGGACAGATCTTGGTGATCGCTTCGTGTCTTGCCCGGCTGTCTTACTGGAAGACCGGTAGAAGAAGCCAGGTTTTTTGTGATATAACTATGCTGTAGCTAGAGGGAAGTTCTTTCACGACACAAGAAGTCTTGAAGTGTGGAGTTTTGGAGGATCCATAGTGGCTCTGACATGCCAGGACTCTGACAGAGTTCGAGGCGGCGAGGGCTGCACACTATGGAGCGCGGGCAGCTCAGGCCGTGACCAGCTGATGTCAATGGTCAATGAGCACTCCTTCAAATGCAAAGAGAAGCAGTGGGCAGGCGAGCTATCGAAGGAGCCGCCCCATGGCAAGCCAGGCGTTCTGGGATGTGATTGCCACCCCAAGCCGTGAATCCCAGGAGTCGCAATCTGATTGTTTTCGTTGTAGCCAAATGCAGGACGACAATGATGACTTAGCCCGTTCAGTGCCGAACAGGGGCCGGACATTGTCGCAGCAGGTCAAGACTTCAGGATTCACAGCGATTCCCAGGCAGAACAAAACTCAACACAACTAAGCAGCTGTCGGGACTCTCCAGCCTAGCGGAAGGATAGCATACTTCGTTCCCATTTTCAGCCATGCCTGCCGTGCAGAGCGGGGTGACGTATCCCAGAGATACCACACCACCTCCGGGTCTTCCAGCCGGCTGGAAAGCTATTGAGCGAGCCTACACTGCCGCCAAGTTGCACTGATCTACACTGAAAGCACAGCGCACAGGAGTGAGAGGTGGAAATCAGGCTCTTTCTAGAGATTCTATGTGTGACATGTCAAGCGCAAACCCAAGCCCAAGCGAATTGGATTTGGCTGATATTTCTCACGATTCTGCCAGCTTAGACCACGGGCTGTGAAAGAGCACGCGCGGAGCCAAGCCCTACGGACCCAGCATTCCAACCCTGAGGCTGCCAAGATCACATCGTGAATCCATCAGTCCGAACTGTGCACTGGCAGGAGCACGAGTCTCAAAATCGGAAAGACGACTTGCACGGAGCACGATTTCGGGAGGCGCACACGCACGGGACTGTGGTGGGAAGAAGATGCCCTCAAGCAAGACACAGAGCTGACACGATTTCAACTTAGCTTTGGAACGGCGGAGTTTGGACCCCACGAAGCAGCCCCGAACTGGGGCTCTAGGATCGCCGCAGCTTCGCCACGTCTACTCGTAACGTAAGAACCCCATAGTGTTACTTGTGCCATACTGTGGGGAGAACGGTAGCAATTGCTGGCAGAACCGAGGGAGCATCGAAGAGTCGTCAGAACAGCGCTGCTGCTGCCGCTGCTGCTGCAGAGCAGAATGCTGCATCTTTCCGCTTCCTCGTTACCGGAATCAGCATCAGTCTGAACTTCATGGTGATCCTCTTCCTCCTCTGCACCATCACCATCACCATCCTCATCCTCATCTCCATCACCAGCAAGGCAGCCTCATCCTCCTCGTCCTCATTCTCATCCTCATCCTCATCCTCATCGAGCGGTCATGGGAAAGACAGTCAGATATCTTGCATGCTCGGTCCGTGAGCTCTTGGAACCAAGGCGAACAGCTCCTCTTTCGGCCAGACCTACATTCGGTACCAAAGCGCAGACGGCAAACATAAATGTATTTCCTCTGTTTTCAAGGCCGTCGAGCTCCATGCTAAAGAGACTGGGCACGACCCCAAAAAGGCTGTAGAACGATTAAAGGAAGACTTGAAACGTGAGAAGGTGGCTCGAGAAAGGGAGAAAGGCCAAGGCGAAGACAGGGAAGCGGCCGTGGAAACATTTAGGAAGAGATATGGAGGCCTGGAAGCGACGACCTGTGCCAAATTTGAAGGCTGGACGTACAAGACCAGCTTCCTGGAAGTCTCTGGGCAGACACAAGTTCTTTACGTCAGTGAGACGCAGGACGTGTTCGGCACGTTGAAGCAGGTTGAGGCTGCCCTAGGATACCGCATGATGGACGGTCAGAACCTGGACAAGCTGGTGGCAGATGCTCGTGCAGCAGCTAGGGAGACATGGGGCGACCAGGTGGACAGCAAGCAGTTCAATCCCCTACGTCGAACCTCTGATGGCCTAAGCTTGCAGGAGGCCGTGAACTCCGGGGAGCTTGCGGTTTCGCAGCTGCGGAGAGTCCAAGTCCACGAAATGGAGTCGCACTCTGCTGAGATGGCCCGCCGGGTCGTGAAGGACGCGGACTACGAGCCGTCGGATCTGGTTCTGGGCGAGCTGCCAAAGCCCCTGAACGACGAGCGCAAGGCTCGGGCATATGGCCACATCTAAAAATCTGTTCGGCCACAAAGGCCGTTTTGATACGCACGGTGGAAGGTTCAGGGTTCAGGATGCATTCGTGGGTTTGTGTCAGGCTTTTTGTTTTGTTGCATGGCTTGCCGGAGGTTCTGAAGGAGCTGACCAAGAACAAGCTGCTTGATGCCGCCGCACTTGCAGCGACAGTCACGAAGATCTACACGAACTTGAAGACGCAACACTTCAAGAAGGTCCGACTGGTTCTCGTTGCGAGCCGCAAACCCATCGCGGATGACTCCATTTCCAAGGGCTTGTTAGGTGTCTATTACGCTGACTCCTCTAGGATGGAGAGCGTTCATGGAAAGCCCTTTTACACAAAGATTTCTCTCCATAGTGACAGCGACAAGATGTTCTGTACGGGCTTGTATTTGTTTTGGGGAAAGACCGCCGAAGCCTGGAAAGTTGCGAAGTCCATCGATGACGCAAGTGCAGGTTTACTCGTTGACAAGGGCGATCTGAAAATGTTACAACCGAAGAGCTCACCGCGCGCAAAGGTCCTGACAGAAGCATGCTTCCATCGCCTTCAGAAGAGAGGGAAGAAGAGGCGACGTTCCAGGAGCACGTCGGGCGCGGTCAAGACTGAAGAGTCGGAGCCGGGCAAAGATGGGTAGGTCTGCTCGCGACAAAAAGGCTGCTGCTTGAGCTCTCGCCGACAGCGGAGTGTTGCCCCCCAGCGCGCCGTTGCCTCTGAGACGTGCCGGAGGTGCTCGTGCTGGTGATGGCCAGTCGATCGCTGTAGAATCCCGAGTTTGTTGGTTCTTTGAGCGCTTCGAAGACTCTAGCCAGGGCCTGGACGCGACTTGCTTGGCCAGGCAGGAGCGGGTGTCGCTGCTGGAGCAGTCGTGGTCAGTTGCCCTGCATTGTTCGCTTGATTTTGGAATCCTAAAGACATGCTGTGAGTGTGGCTGTGCCTGAGGTCTGGGGTGGACATGCAGCGAGTGTACCTCGTGGACGACTGGCTGGAGACAGCGCCGCGCGAGAGGCGCCACTGCACCGCCACTTAGACCCCCCGACCCTTCCAAGTCGTTCGCTTGCTAGCAAGAGGCAGTGGCGTCCGGACGCGCCGCGCAATACCGGCGGTGGTTTCGACGGCTTAGAGAGCGCCCTGGCAAGGAAGCTGAAGCAGCCCGAAGGGTGCAGAGACAGGCGAACGCAGTTCTGCTGAGGTGTAGAGAGAGATAGATTTCCATAAAACCGAAGCTGCAAAAAGACGTGTGGTCTGTAACAATTCTGTGTCTCTTAGGCAATTATTGGGATGCCCAAAGCCGGCAGCTGGACTTCATGCGGCAGCACCCCAACGTTCGGACCTCATGAGCCGAAAGCCAAGGGCTGCAAAGTGCAAAGAAATGCTGCAAACGATGCTGCGAAGATCCTGAGCTGGCTTGGTTTTGCCCTCTTTCTTTGCGAGGTGAGCAGCGTCCGAAGCTTCGGAAGTGCTACGATGGCCACAAAATGGATTCTGCTGGCAGATGACGACACCTTCATCCAGGTAGACGTCCTGTTGGACTTCCTTGCAGGCCATGATCCCCAGGTGCCGGCACTGTTTGGATACATGCTGAGTGATGCCCATGTCCTGGGCTATGACTATCCCTGCGGCGGAGCTGGCATGCTGCTCTCTGCTGCGGCCTATGATGTCCTGGCCTCACGCTTGCTGGGCCCTGAGTGCCCGCTCCTAGCTTTTAATGATCTAACGATCGGCTTCTGCGCGCATTCCCGTGGGGTACCACTGGTCCACCATCCGGGCATGCATTGCGCCCCAGACGTGAACAGGGCCATGCGGCCTGGAGAGAACTTGTTGGACATCCAAAAGAGTGTGGCAGTGCATCGGCTTATCGGCTTCCAGAGCTTCCTGGACATGATCAACACCTTGGAGGTCTTAAAGGGCCAGCTGCATGCGCTGCTGCAGCGCCGCTGCCTGCTCGCCGCGCGCTCCCCGCAGGGGGAGGAGGAAACTGAGACGGATCCTTTGGACTCTCGCCGGTTCTTTTGGTCGGTGGAGGCTTTGGCCGATGCTGTTTCCGCTTGCAGGGCCTTTGCCCCCAAGGCCTCGCAGGATGGGAAGATCCACTTGGAGTTCCTCCTCTTCCAGCATGGCCTCCCCGTCGCGCGCTACCACGAGGACCGGCACGTGCCACTCACGGCCAAGCCGGCCTCACGCAGCAAACGCTGGCCCGAGTGGCTGGAGCAGCTCCGGCACCTGCGCTGTGCGCGAGAGCCGCAGCCGGAGGAGCGGGAGGAGCAGGAGGAGCCGGAGGGCGGTGACGAGGCTTTCGGAGACTCCGAGGTCACCTGGCGGGCATCCTGGACGGCTGCAGCACCGCGGCTGGGAGAGCTGCAAGTGCAGGCGACGGGAGCTTCCGTCTTTGCAGCCTCGGCTTGGGTGGACTCCGAGGCCGTGGAGAGCAGCTTTGAGGCGCTGAAGGCCACGGGAGGCTCCTGGCTAGAAGAGCTGAAACGGGCGGCGCGGCCCTTCCTTTCAGGGAGAACGCCGGGGCCCGGCCGGCGCTGGCTCTTTGTGGACTTCTCGCCCTCCTCAACGTTTCTCAACCTCTTCGAGTCCCTGCGAGTGCTCCGCTCCGTCTCCGGCCTCTTCTTCGGAAGCAGCGACAGCAACCCATACCTTCAAGATGTTCGAGGTCCAGTGGATCTCAGTGCAGATGCACCACCCCCACTGGCCATGGCCTACGAGTACTTCGATTTGAACGTGGAGCAAGCCGCGGGGCTCTGGCTCAACGGAGTTGCGGCGCAGCGGCTCCTTCGTTGCCAGCCCCTCAAGCACCCGATCGGCCTAGATGAGGAAGCCCACGCCAACGACTGGCCGATTCAGGAGGAGAGGCTGTCCTTAATGTGGCACAATGCCGTGGCCGTGGATGTTTTTAGGACACTCCGCTTTTGTGGAGTCCTCCTACTCCATGCCCCTGCTATGGTTTCTTGGCGGATGTGAACGCAGCAGGGCAGCCCCCCACTCTGATTCTGGCGCCACGTGCTGGTCCGGACGCCAAGGTTCCCCACGCATTGTCCTACCTGCCCTATTCCACGTACCGGCGGTCTCATGCCCCGCGGGGCGCTCGGTGGAAGTGGCAGGTTGACAGGCCGTGCCGTTCAGCGGTAGCAGGTCTGTGGCCACTGCCATGTCCATTGGGAACGTGGCTTCGCGTGCGGCCCTCATGGACCTTCCTCTCCCACACGGCACGCAGTCGTTTAAGAAGCGTTTCGAGGCAATGTGTTGATCTATAGGTCCTGCCATAGGAGCCAGAACCTCAGCCTGACTGCAGGTGAGCAGATGAGGGCTCTGTCGCAGCTGGCAGGAGGCTCAAGGGGACGAGGCTGCGACTTGCACGGAGCAGCTTCTCAGGTCCAGCGCCGCGCCTGCGCAGCGCAACGCCGAAGCCGCGGCAGTGACAGGAACGAGCGCGGGAACGCGCGGGCAAGGGGGCGTGAGAACACGCGGGCAAGGGACTCAGATGCCCTTGGAGATCCGGAGGCCTGGTAAGCCACGAAGGAGCTGGATGCCACGAAGTCGCATCCTGGGAGGCCGGAAACGGAACCGACTCGAAGAGCTTTACTGCTTGGGGTTCCCCCTTTGAAGCCAGCAGGTGACCTGGACGTGAATCTAACGGCGGAGGCGTGGCGCTTGCCAGGCCTACATCCCGATCATTTCATGCTGTTCCGGAGTTTCAATGTCCGATGAGTCCGATGACATGTGCCAGGCGCCCGCTTCCTGGGTCAGTCGCTCGTGGCCTTCCGCTCCGAGCATTTCTTGCCGGACGCACAAGCCGCAGGCCACCGCGAGGGCTCTTCAGAGAGTGAGATGCAATGAGATGTATCGGTCTGTATCGGGCTGAGCTAAATTTGTCTCTGAGGCCTGGGAGCCACGCCCTCCACAAAGCCATCCCTTTGAGAGCCGAGAGCTGAGAACCGGAGCTGCCGGAGCCGGAGGGGGCCGCACAGGCCGAGGCTCCGCAAGGACCTCGGCAGCTGACGGCTCGGCGTCGCCGGGCCGCCGCGATGCTTCTCGAGCTTCGACAGCCCTCGGAGACCTCGGACCATCGACGACGTGCCAGCAACGACGCAGCAACGAGAACTTCACATTGGGCCCAGATGGGTGCAAAGCTCTGGCACCAATCGCATCGCAAAAGGATCAGATTTTCATGTCCAACGTTGGGCCACTGTATGGGCTTCGGAAAGTCTTGCGGCTGGAGTCTTGTGAAAGCCGGAAGGTGGCTTCCTGGCTCGAGCACTGCTTGGCTACGCCGTTTTCGAGCTGCTCACACCGCCATGTGCATCACTTATAAATAGTTAACACACGAGCACAAGCACATGCACAAGATCATTGACGTGCTACGGGGGCGATGGTTGACGACATGGATGCAAACCAACAGTCGAATAAAGAGCGGGCTCTATTGCCATGCAAAGGCACTTCCCAATGTGAAAGATAGACAAGTTAGACACGCTCGGGTCAGTTAATTCATTCTGTGCTTCAGAGACTACGGCGAAGGGTCGGGTTCGGGGCCTTCGGGCTTTTGGCAATTACTTGCGTGCGCGGGAAAATGGCTGGATTCCTTTCCGCGCTTCGGCAGCGTCTCGGGGATTGCGGCTGCTTCCAGCCTGACGCTTACAAACGGAAGGGGCGAATGGCATGATGCAAGGACAAGCCGACCATGCTCAGGGCCGCACTGGCAGTGCTGCACATGTCACTCACGCCTGTGCTACTAGACTGTAGAAGCGCAGTGCAGCATTTTGTTTTGTGTTCCCAAGAGCTGCAATGAGCAGTCGTCTTCTCGACTACAATCCTAAGTCGGTCCTACTTGCTCAGCTCACTAAGCAAGGACGGCCTCAACGGCCGTAGTGGCAAGTATGTCTCTGCTAACCTCTGCGCACCGGCCTTCAAGCGGCCCAAGGTTCGCCGGCTCCGAGCCATCGCTGCCGGCGCCGGTCGCCGCGGCGGCCGCTCCAGCGAAGCCCCGGCTGCCGCTGCCCCTGCGGCTTGGCGGCTTCAAAACCGCCTCAGCTTCGCAAACGTCAAAGCGCCTCTTTGGAAAGGAGTGTGGGCTTCGCCGTGGTCACGCCGAAAGAGACCGAAGAGGTGCCCACACTGGAACTGCGCATCACGGCCGAGGACCAGGAGGTCACCGACGAAGGGCTGACGGCCATGCACCCTGGCCTGCGTTCAGCAAGACTCCGGTCACGAGAGTCGCACACAGGATTGCTGTTGCCATCCCTGGGCGTTTGTCAGGCTGGATTACATGGACTTCGTTCTGGACCTTCCTCAGGCCTCCTCCGGGGAGGGCTTCCAGATCTCCTTCGAGCAGATGACTTTCTTAGGCCCGGGACCTCCCTTTGCAGAGAGGGAGAGTGAGAGAGCCGCGAAGAAATTGAAGGCTCATCGCAGTCGGATATCCTCAAGCAGGTGGGAGAGCTTGCCAGCCTCCTCGAGGCTCACGTCTCTCGAGCTTCCTGTGAGGTGATCTGCTGGAGCTGCGAGCCCGGGCGTTCCTCGAAGTTCGCCGAGCGCTGCGACCGGGCTGGAAGGTTTTCCGTGATTGTTTTGAAGCAGTCTGCCGTTACAAGAAGAATCATTGGCTTGAGGACGATGGCCACGTTCAAAAAAGTTTTTGGTGGGCTTTGGGGACAGCTCAGGCAAGCGCTGGAAGATCATTTGTCCGGCCACCGACTGGACGCAGGTGGGCCGAAGATTTCAGCACTCAACGTGACATCCAACCCTTATAAGGATTTGTGATCCAACCCTCCTTGTGCGAGGTGAACCGCTACTTGCTCCAAGTGGGTTTTGCCTTCTACCCGCCGCCTTGCCCGACCTACCTCCTCACAGACGAGCACCCCAGCATCGAGGCAAGCTTACAAGCATCGGACCTAGTAGCATGAATCTGAAACGCGGAAATGCAAAGGCCTTGAGGATTCTGAGACCACCAACCCCTCCCCTTTGCTGGTTGGTAGCCCATGTGAGAGCAATAGAAGAGCTTCTAGTCTTGCTTCCTGCGAGATGTCGAATCGCACTTTCTCGCTCTGTCTCTCCTTTCTTCCTGTCCGTTTCGTTTGCGTCAGGTAGGCAATGGTAGGCAGGCAAAGCAGGCGCAGGCAGAACCCACTGCCAGAGGAAGGCAACCCGGAGATGAAAATCTTCGAGCCCAACGAGGCGGGAGCTGCAGTGGGGCCTCGGAGGGCAGAGAGAGAGAGAGAGAGTAGCCACTGAGCTACTTCTTTCTGGGCTGCGTACGAGATTTCCATTCCAGGAGATCCAGAAGTTCGCGAAGCTGGAGGAGGAAATGCAACACGAGGTCGCCACTCACAAAGACACGGAAGGCCACGTGCACCTGCCGGCGGCAGAGGACGGTGCCGCGGCCGGCCTTTGTCAACTCCGCATGATGGCAGAGACTTTGTTCCCTTTTACTTCCACTTTCCCTCTCTCTTCCTCCCTCCCTCCCTCGCTCTGGCTCTCGCTCTCGCTCTGTCTCTTGTTCTGGCTTTGTTCTCTCTCTCTCTGTCTCTCTGTCTCTCTCTGTCTCTCAGTCTCTGTCTCTGTCTCTGTCTCTGTGTCTGTGTCTCTCTCTCCCTCGCTCTCTCTCTCTCTCTCTCTCTCTCTCTCTGTGTCTCTCTGTCTCTGTCTCTCTCTGTGTAAACCCTAACGCGGCGACCATGCCGCAAACAAGTTTCCTCTCTCCCTCTCTCATCCATTCGACTCCCCAGGCAGCCGAGTCTCCAAGTACAAGGACGGCCAAATCCCAGCCAAGCTGGATGTGGGCTTTGCCATCGTCAGCCAGGGCTTCGACGGGAAGGAAGGCTACCTCCGCATCCAGGGCTGTGAAGGACCGCCTGTGCCGCGCATGTGCCGGGCGGAGCAGGACCGGGAGCAGAGCGCAGTCCGACTGCAGGAGACCTGGACATGGATGGCTTGCACGAAATGATGGACTTCATGGATGCTTTCACTCTCTCGCCGAGCGCTGAGCGAGGCCTGCGGCTCGGGCCTGGCAGAGACACGAACGCCGATGCTAGGTGAGCCCCACTGTCGACAGGTTTCTCCATCATGTACGACATGCGCACGCTGCGCGCCCCATCCATGCAGATGGTCACAACCGTGGCAGAATGGGGCGCCCACCCTGTGCGGCAGAAACGTTCCTCGGCAGCTTTACTATAACGGCTATAGCCTATAGAGCCGAAAGCAGAAACATAGCCAGATCCAGTTTGCGCTGCAGGATGGGAGCAGCTGAACACTTCTTGCAAAGTCATCATCACCGCGGGGCTCCGGTTCACCCTCGCCAAAGGGATCCTCTCCACCTTCTTCCTCTTGCGGCCTGGCACGAAAGGAGTATTGGGGGTGACTTGGAGAGCAGACCTGTGATATCTGCTAGCCTTGGTCCTGGCTGATGCGCTGCACGGGCCGCGCCTGGCGAGAGCATGCTGCAAACGCACGCCTGCGGTTTCATGCTGTCTACCACCGCAGGATCATTGCATGAAGCTGCGCAGGGTCTGCATCGAAGGTTCTCGGCAAGAGGAAGCCTGGGTTTCGAGAAATGGAGGGATGTCTATGCTTGCGCGTTTCTGGTCTCAGGTGCCCTCCCGTCACAAGAACGTACTTGATGTACGAGCCGGACCAGCCATTGGAGAGTGCTGTCCTTTTCGAGCCCTAAGAGGAAAAAACTGGGCTTGCACGCGGTGTAGAATGGTCTCCTGTTGTTGTGGAGTCAACCTCGTTTTCAGCTCTGAGCGTGGATTTACACAGCACGGACGTGACTCATGCTTGAGCTATATTAGCGTCCATAGAGTGCCATAGAGCTCCGCAATGCATCATTCTATCGTCAGCCGAGGACCATCAAGAGTCATTCCTCGATTCCAGTATCTCCCAAAAGCCGCCGGGTTGTTGTGTGCTTTGGCCACGGAGACTTCATGAGCTGTACACCCGGAGCAACAGCTCTGCGATTGAAGGCGAGTAGCATGTGCTTCAAGCATGGGCATCTTATTGAACCTTCAGGTTCTGATCTGAGGGATTCCGTAAAGAATGCTGATCGTCGCGGGACCCGAGTGTGCGCCACTTCGAAATGGCCTCACACACAGGGTTCACAGGCCTGTTGTTGGGATCGCCCTCGGTACCACAATGACCCGACACCTGAGCTTTAACTTTAGGCAGCCGCTTCCGAGCAAGTTTGATCCAGTCGTCGTGCACTTGACGCCAAGCCGACTCCTGTAGGGGGCAAGTCCCAAGGATCGCTGGTAGGCGCTGGTAGCCTTCACCAGGCAACTCCGATGTCCGGACTCCGCGAAAAATACAAAGCGCGCGTAAAATGCATGGTCTCTAGTCCTCGCCATCCTCTCGGGCTCCGGAAGGCGACCTCGACTTCTCAGTGCTGCCTATGACTGTGTCCATTTCTTGACCGCCTGCTTAGAAACCGGGCTTCTGTTTCCATTCTGCGTGGTTCTCGCTGGATGTGGGCGAGCATCATGACAGCGCAATCAAAGCCGCATGGTTGCTTGTCGGAAACAGTGAAGCCGCGGCATTTGCTGAAGGTTATCTGCGAGGTTGGTAAGCAAGACGGCTTGCCCATAGTCCGTAGCAATTCCTGGACAATGTGTTAGTGTTGCGCTTGTGCCCCCTTTTTCCAGGTGGTACGGACTGTCGCGCAGAGGTGCCCACTGATGCTCATGATGCCGGCCGGCCAACACCCTCTGCTGCTCATGAAGTTGCTGGCCGAAGTCGCTCGGCAAAAGCCGTCCAGCAACCCCAAGACAGGTGAGCCATCTTGGCCCCTGCCCATGACCTCCTTCGACTGCTTCCGCCGTTGCCAACCTTCTCGCTCGACCATCCCCTTGTTGGAAGTCCGAGTTTCGCACCCGAACGGTTGGTTACACAGTCATGCGGGAAACGGTAAGAGACCATGCAGTTGAAGAGTTTCAACATGTATCCAAAGGCACGTGCAGAGGTTGTGCACTTCCGTGAGCTGCAAACTCAGACCTAACTGAACCCTCGCAGTCGGTTTCCGCGTCCTTCGCAGGGCCCGTGCCTATGGATACAGGCGCTTGGCTCAACTTGGTGTCAAGTCTGTTGCAGAGTTGAGTTCCCCGCTTGCTTCTTTTCCACTCCTGACAAAGTACTAAAGGGCAAGGGCAAGTCCAAGTCTAAAAGACAAGGTTTCGAAGACACTTGACGAGTCCCGGGCCCACCACCCAAGCGCAGATGTCTAGTTCCGGTCTGGTGTTGCTGCTGCCGTCCCGCGCAGGCGGCATCAGACCTTCCGATAGCTCTTGTGCGCTTAGCACTGCCGCTTGGTCGTCGTCGGATTGGAGGTTGGCGGCAGGTTCGGCACTGAAACCCTGCAGTTCTTGCGCCTCCTCAGACACCGGGGCGGTCGTTGCCCTGCCATCGTTGCCTGGATCTCGCGCTGGTTTGGGCTCCTGGCCGTCGCCTTCCAGCGCGCCTACGGGGCCCCGTCCAGAGCTGTACGAAGTCCTAGTCGACCCCCGGAGTGACTAGCACTAGTGACCTAGCCGTCTAGGCCGCTTGCCGACGGACATGAGGCCACCCCTGCAGACGTCAGCAGGTGTGAAGAAAAAACAAAAAACAAGAGCCCATTGAAGCCGGCGGTTTCGAAGTTGACTCGGTTTGTTGTTTCCCAGCCGTGGCACAGTGATGCACAGTGTTCAGCAGGGTTGGTCGCGTGTAGAGCTTACTGGAAAGGACGAAAGGTCTTTACAAGCTTGGTGTGGTCGTTTCCTCCCAGCGGTGGCGGAGTCGCGAACGTTGTTGCTTCGGCCCTTCCGCGAAGGCAGCAGGTCTAGCTCCGGAGGTTCTGTGCCTGTGGCACCGCCAGGGCGAGCGCCAAGGTCTGTGCCTGCAAGGTGTTGCCGGTGTTGCTTCTGGTGAGGGGCAGGGTTTCCGGAGGCAGGCGGTGTTTTGGCTGTGCATCTTCAAATGACGAGCACGGAGAGTCTGAGCATGCCGAAGCCTAAGCTGCTGGGACTCCCAAATCCGTACAGTGCTCTGGTCAAAGACCACTACCGCGCAGCCATGGGCTGTGACTACACGGGCAGCTTGTGTCCGTTCGGGAAACAGTGCTAGCCGCTAGCCGAACTACCCAGCTAACCCGGGGAGTCACAGGTCAGATGGTCTCATCGTCCTCACCGGGCGGCCCTGAAAGATAGCCACTAGACCGCGGCATTCTTGAAATCCTGCGGTCTACTGTCAGAGCAGCACCCAGCAAGCGCAGCCAACCTGTGATGGTTTCAGTTCCTTTGGCCAGCCCGGGGCACCTTGGTTCTACGACGACCGGCACGGCCGGCAACAACACGCGATCGCCATAACAAAGGTTCTGAGGGCGATACCGTATGTGTCCATGGTCGTCAACCGCTTCATACGTACCGTTCCTTGAATTTCATTACTCTACCTGGCTAATAAGACGCGGCTGCTTAGGACGACCCCACCGTGACCTTCGCAACAGGTCGGTTCTGTATCAACCGGAGGGCAGTGAGCAAGGCGACGCAAGCCCTGTATTCGCTTGTGCAGCAGCCTGCGCGGGAAGAGGTGCAGAGGCAACTGCGGAATGGGGAGGCGTTTTTTGCGTATTCCGATGGCACGTACCTTCCAGATTCGCAAGCTTCGCCGTCGGGGAGTCCGCCAATGGAAATCTTCCAGGGTTGGGTCTGCATTACTCCTTCAGAATCGTGCGATACGGCTTCCTGTGGGAGATTTTGTGCTTGAATCGTAGAATTCTGGTCGCTCGATCTTTCCGGCCGAACCTTGTTCTGCTGGTGCTTACGACCACATAGCCAGGGCGGCAATGTTCGAAGGCCTCCGCCGGGATGCGCGCTGGGCTTCGTTGATACCCTTTGTCCGTCAATTGTATGGCCGCGAAAGCACGTACATTTTCTACGACCATTTGGGACAGGCACACGAGGTAGCCCAGGCGGAAGGAGGAGAACAAGGCGGCCCCCTCATGCCGGGCCTGTTCGCAGTAGGCATCCACCCGGCCCTTCTGGCGGCGCACCACGAACTCGGGCCACGTGCCGACCTCAATGCGTTCTTGGATGATACGTATGTGGCATGCGATCCAGCGGACGCATGCGCCGCAGTCGTCACCTTGCCATGGCGCTCAAACGCAACGCGAAAATTCGATGTGCACCTCGGCAAGACGCGCGTTTCGACCGGGGGAGGCGCCCGTCCGGGTTGGGGACCAGTCCCTGCCGCCTGAACAACAAGGCTTCCTCGTCCTCGGCACACCATTTGGGAGCGAAACCTTCCAAAAGGAAGCCCTCAGGACTAAGGGATTGAACGATGTTCGCTTGCTGGATAGAATCCGAAGCCTGCCTGACCTTCAATCGGCGTGGCTACTACTACTCATGTGCGCCGCTCCACGGAGCAACTACCGCCTCCGGTCCCTGGCGCCGTCCCTCACGGACGAGTTCGCACGCGCACACGACGACGAAATTGCACGGTGCTTGGTCGACCTCCTCGCCAATGATAACCCAATACACATAGACGACCTCGGCCGGAGACGGGCTGCGCTGCCCTTAAAGCTCGGAGGCTTGGGATTACGCCGTGCCCTCGAAGGCCGAGGAGCGGCATACTGGGCATCTTGGGCCGATACTTTGCCAATCCTGCACCAACGTCACCCGAGTATTGTGGGGGAAGCCCTCTGCCGCGTGCAGGTGTCCGGCCTAGAGAGCACTGACGAGGCAACCCCAATCAACCCCAACTTGGCTGAACTAGCAAAGGCAGCGGCGCAGCTGCAGGAAGCCGGGTTCGCGTTGCCGACGTGAGATGATCTTGCCGATGGCGGGCGCCCGCCTCCTGCGCTTGTTGAGTGCACCCTTGATGAGCCGCTGCGAGGATGGCAGCGAGCCGCCGCGGCTTGCTTGGTCGCCTCCGCTAGCACGAGCCTTCGTTCTGACTCTGACCCGGCTTCGCGCGCGTTGATGCTGTCCGAGGCAGGCCCTGGCGGCTCCCGTGCCCTAACCGCACTTCCCACGGCCCCGCAGATCCGACTCTCGAGCTCGTGCTTCCGAGTCGTGTTGCTCAGACGCTTGCGGCTGCCCATGCCAGTCGGGCCTCGGCGGTGCCGGTGTGGAAGTACACTCGATACCTTGTGTGACCACCGTACAGCTTGTCCGACTGCCGATGTTCTCGGAACGCGCAGGGCAGGGTAAGGGCCGCGGTGCGAGTCTGCCGCGAGCTGGTGCACGAGTTGCAACCATCGTCTTCCAACTGGACATGAATGTCGATGTACCCCTCGCTGATGGCCGCCGCATCGAGGTACTGGCGAATGGATTGCTCCTGTGGCCCTGTGGCAGGGCGCCCAGGCGGCCGTCGACACCACCCTGGTCTCGCCCGATACGCAGGCGGGACCACATGCCGATCGTGTCCCCGGCACAGCGCTTGAACAGGTGGACGGACGAAACACAAAAAAAAAAAACGCAAGCGCTCCCACGCACACCCGGAGCTTGCGGTCGCGCGCCGTTGCAAATTTGTTGTGCTCGCCATGGAAGTTGGCGGCAAGTTCGGCCGGAGGCCGTGGCCTTTTCACGGCAGTTGGCCAAGGCTCGTGCGCGCGAGTCCCCCGCGCGGCTGCGCCCGGCCGCACAGCGTGCCGCCTTACACCGTTGGACGGGCATGCTGGCTGTGGCGGCGCAACACGCGCTG